CGTGCATTTCTCCTATTATGAAATTAAGTGAGAATCTTTTCAGACTGGGCAAATGTTAAATGACCAATAGTACCTGTTGCCAGTAGGAGGGATCCGAGTGAAAAGTTCTCTTATATGGCGCTGGTATAAATGGGCTTCCCAGGCGTCGCTATGGTAAAGAATCTGCCTGCCAGTGCGGGGGACAGAAGGATGCAGGTTTGATCCCTGAGTTGGGAAGATCCCCTGGAGGAGGGCACGACAACCAGCTCCATTATTCTTGCCTGGAGAATCCCCATGGACAGAGGAGCCTGGCAGGTCACAGTCCATAGGGTCACAAAGAGATGGACTTGACTGAAGTGACTTAACACGCATGCATGCTGATATAAATGTGAACTTTTTCAACCTGTTTGCAAAACAGTCTGGCAACCCGTGTTAAAATGTTTTAAACTAGAAATATCTTTTGTGCTAGCTGTATCTTTCTTGGGAATCTGTCCAATAGGTATAAAATGTGTAAGTGAAAGTCGCTCAGAGTCCAGCTCTGTCACTGCATGGATATACAGTCCATGTATTCTACTGGAATTCTACTGGAGTGAGTAGCCATTCCCTTCTCCAGGGGATCTTCCCAGCCCAGGGGTCGAACCCAGGTCTCCCGCATTGTGGGCGGATTCTTTGCCAACTGAGCCACCAGGGAAGCCAAGAATACTGAAGTAGGTAGCCTATCCCTTCTGCAGCAGATCTTCCCTACCCATGAATCAAACCAGGGTTTGATTGCAGGGTCTCCTGCATTGCAGGCGGATTCTTTACCAGCTGAGTTACAAGGGAAGCCCTTAAAATATGTAAGGATCTATCTATAAGAATATTCATTGTACCATCATCCATAGTATCTAAAAACAAGTAGCAAAGTGAAAGCTCATTAATAAGAAAATGGTTGAGTGAATTACAGTTTTTGTATCCAACAAAAGGAATAAATTAAAGCAGTATGAGTTGAATTGTGATTTCCACAAGATACTACTGCTAAATGAGAAATAACAAGATGAAGAAAAGTGTGTATAATGTGATCCCAGTCTATAAATCAGCAGCAGCAGCACACACAAATGTTTGCATATTTGTGTGTATGTATGTTTACACTCAAAATATTTATATTTGTAGATCTATATATATATACACATGTGTATTTGTATATAACTATGTGGGAGAAATAATGGAAAATATGTATTACTTGGGATATAGGTTTGATTGCTTAAAAGCCAACATAATAATAACTTAAGATGAAAGTTTATTTTTTTCTTGTAACATTTCAGAGATGATCAGTTCTCAATTGATACGGCAGCATCAGGTGTTAGGGATCCACCCTCATTCTAGCTTGTTAATCTGCTATACTCAATATGTGGCTTCTATTTCATGGCCTAAGATGGTTGTTTCACCTCCTGCCAAGATATATCTGGGAACGGGAAATGGAAAAACAGTATACCTCTTCTTTTTAAGGGCATGTCACAGAAGTTGCAGCTATCATTTCCTCTTTTGGCAAAAATGTAGTCGCATGTCCAGACCAGCGAGGTAGGCTAGGCAGTATAGTCCTTGCCTATATGGCAAGGTACTAAGTCAGAACTTGGGAGTTGTAATACTAAAAGAAGAGGAAGAAAGGACATTGAGAGACAGTAGCAATCTCTGCCACAGCAGACTAGGTTATCTTCCTGCATTACAAGTCAACCACAAATTTAATGGCTAAAGTCAATAATGATTTATTATTTCTCACTACTCTGTGTCTTGAGTAGAAAGTTTTTCTGTTTCTTCTGGGCTCATTCACGTGGCTGTCTTCACATGGTCTTTCATTCCAGACTTATTCACAGCATAGAGGCCCAGGGCAGTGTTCCAGAAGGTGAAAAAGGAAGCTGCAAGGCCTCTCTAGGGCTCATCCACAGAAGTTACACCAAGTCACAGCTACTGCATTTGGTGGTCAAGATAAGTCATAAGGAAGGCTAGCCTAGATTCAAGAAGTGGGAAAATAAAAGTGGCAAAGGCACATTGCAAAGAGGCACAGACAAAAGAGGCATGATACACTGGGAACAAATATTGCAACAATCAAACATATGACATTTTTACACTTACATTTACACTTAAATGTATATGTAAATTTTTGTTTGTCCACATAGTCAAATATAAATAAGTATAATTAGTTAAGCAGATTCATGGTGTGCAGATACAAATATGATCACATCACTCTCTTACTTATTATTGATTGCTTTACAGATTAAAGCCCAAGCCCCTTGGCCTGTACCATTTCTCCTATATTACACTATCTCCCAGGAGATGTAATCAAAACCAAGCAGAAAGATAAGTCATTTCTAGCTGAAGTGGTTGGGCTTCAAGTCAGTTGTGGAACTGAACCAGGCCTTGAGAAGTGTTTGAATTGATGGAGAGGGGCAAGTAGGCATAACTGGTAGTTCCCAGTCTTATTAGGACTACCCTTTTAAAAAAACTGAAATACAGCATACTGCAGAAATAAGTGCAGTATCTATCATAAGTAAAAATATCCCTCTATCTACCACCCAGGGGATAGAATATTACAAGTTACATAGAAACCTCTTATGTGACATCCCAGTAATTATACTGCCCAGCTTCCCCAGATGTAACCACTCATCCTAACGTATAACCATAGATTCATTTTGAATCATACATGAATGAAATTATATGTGTGTTTCGCCATTATATTTGTAAGGTTTATCTAAGTTGTTTGTAGAAGTAGTTTGTTCATGTTTATTGTTATATTCCATTTGTGGATAAGCTGTCTCTGTCCATTCTGTTGTAGCTGTTTGAGCTGTTTCTACTTTGGGGCTGTGTGTGCGTGCGTGTGTGCTAAGTTGCTTCAGTTATGACTGACTGTGCGACCCTATGGACAGTGGGCAGATAAAGTAGATTTGTAGTACCAATTAAATGCTCAGTTCTTCCAGTTTTCTTACACTAAAGTTAGCATTGATGAGGAAGGAGTGGAACCTTGAGACATCAAATGGGGATAGTTGGGCAGACAAGAATGAAGCTTTGGGGCAGCTCTCTCATAAGTTGATTCCTACTGTCCTCAGAATTTACACTCCCCACCTCCTAGTTCCTCCAGGCAAATCCCGACATAGCATCCCCATCAGAGGAGTATGCAGCTTGCTCTGGCAAATGATGGCCTACACAAAGATCTTGCTGTTTTGACCAGTGAGAACCTGAGGAGTTAAATTTGAAGCATCTCATCCAAGACACAGACTTGGTGCTTCCTGATGGGGAGAGATTTGGTCCCTTCAAGGAAGAATCCTGCAGTGCAGCCACAGCGGTATGACCATTGATCTTCTCCAGACCCAGTGATCCCCAAGCTTGTCTGGACTTAAGAACACCTTAGAAGCCAAGGATACACCCCAAGCCAGTTAACTCATAATTTCTGGGGGTGAGAGACAGGCCTTTTTTTGTATTTTTTAAGCTCCCCCAGTAATTCCATTGAGCAAGTTAGGGAATCATTGCCCTAATCCTTCTCCAGTGGCTATTTATTGGTTAGAATAGGGGCCCCCAAAAAAGTCGAGTGACACATGAGTCCTGGCCTGAGTCTGGCTAACAGCCCAGAGAGACCCATAGTGGTTACTTCTCCAACCCCAGACATGTGGTGAGAATAAATACATTTTAATAACTGAAACAATCTTCATTTTCATTTCCTGACCAATGGAGTCAGTGTTGTTATTGTAGGTAGGACTAGATGGAAGTTCAGAACTGATTGTTACCACTCCCTCTCAAGACAGTAAAAGAAAAGCAGTACAGAAGTTAGTGCCCCTGTGCTGGCATGGCAGCTGCTGCCATATTCCCATTTAAATTCCCTGTGTGATCACCTGGAGAAGGCAGTGGCATCCCACTCCAGTACTCTTGCCTGGAAAATCCCATGGACGGCGGAGCCTGGTAGGCTGCAGTCCATGGGGTCGCTAAGAGTCGGATGTGACTGAGCGACTTCACTTTCACTTTTCACTTTCATGCATTGGAGAAGGAAATGGCAACCCGCTCCAGCGTTCTTGCCTGGAGAATCCCAGGGACGGGGGAGCTGGTGGGCTGCTGTCTATGGGGTCGCACAGAGTCGGACACGACTGAAGCGACTCAGCAGCAGCAGCAGTAGTGTGATCACCAGATGGATCGTGGAGATGGCAGTGTAAAAACCAGACGGGTAGTGAAAGATGACAGTGGACTGTCGCAGAGCTTAGTCAGGTGTGGGGTGGGGGTGGGGGGCAACTGCAGTTGTCCCAGCTGTGGTTTCTTCACTGGGAGAAATTAATAGAGACTTTGACATGATACACAGGTATTGATCTGGAAATGTGCTCTGCCCCCCACTCCCACCTCCTTTCTCATCAGTGAAGAAAATCAAAAGCATATTGCACTTAAATGACACAGACAACAGTCAGCTCTAACTGTCTTGTCTCAGGGCTGTGTCAACATCCCTGTTGTTTCTGTGGTATAAAGGGACCTTGATCATATCACTGTGCCCTAGAATATCATACTAGTCTATTATACAATGAAATTATGTTAAATGAACCTAATGGGAAAGGAGTAGCAAGCATTCTGCATGATCTGATAAGACATATGCCTGCCAGAAGATGCAACGATAAACCCAGGACTGCACCAAGTTTCTAGGGTTGCAGTGGCCAGAGACATGTTTGAATATCCATTCAAATTAAGTGATGAGTAGTTGTGTTTCCTACCACTACAACACAGAGAAAGGGAGAAAGGTGTAGCAGACTTTTTGGGGTTCTGGAGGCAACAAAATAAAGCACATTTGGGTGACCTGCTCTAACCTGTTTTCTGGGTAACCCGTGAGACTGCAAGTTTTGAGGGGGGGCCTTGTGATGAGGCAGGTCCAATGGTACTGGAAGTTCACATGGTAAGAGATGTTAAATGAAGGCTTAGGTAAGTTCCCATAGGGGAATTACAACACAGACCCTTTGGTTTGGGAATAAGAACATATCTTCCTCCGCCAACAACATTTTGTTTTGTTTCTTTGAAAGGCAGCTCCAGATTTGCTCCTGCTACCTGGTAGGATGGAACACCTGACCATGGGACATCAAGTGACCGTGTGAATAATCAAACCACCCATCGTGAACTGACGTTATCTGATTCACAAGACCATACAGCTGGATGAGCACAGAGCAGTCTACTCCCTGGTAGACTGGGAACTGGCTACGGCTGAACTAAATGAGCAGGTGACTCAGACTCCTGTAGTCCCTGACCCTGCTCCTTCAGCGTTTCTCCCCCAACCCATATAAGTTGGCTTCAGGAGGAGTTCCTTCTGACCAGTTAATGGAAGAGAAAAAAGTGTGGGTCCTATTCATTCTTGAAAGGATCTGCTGTGAGCTGGCCACAGCTGGATGTGAATGGTCAGTAAAACACCTCTCATTAGCGGCACTAACACATATTGTAAAGGGAAATCTTTCCGTAGGGAATAATGTTAGGAATACAGCCTGAGGTCAGGGTATGTACTGGTTCATTGTCACTGGCTTATGAGTTGACAGGCTAGAGGAGAACTCAGAAGAAATTGGAAAACTGGCCAGTTATGATACAGTAACCTGCAAATTAGGGATGCTGGCCTAAACAATGTAGTACATGCTTAGAATCCATAATCAGTATATGGTGCTACCTTCCCCAGAAGGTGTATAGAGTGGATATGAGAGTAGTCCTTCTATTTTTCAGAATGACTAATTTTGTAAAAAAGAGTTCAGGTGGCATGTTTTCCAAATTTGGTGGAAAGCATAGGACTATAAATCTACAAAGCTCAGGAAATTGCAAGCAGAAAAATTACAATGAAGTCACACCTATGCATGTTATAGTCAAACTGATAAAATACAGAAAAACAAAAGCATCCAGAGAAATTATACATTATTATGCAAGTTGACAGTTATATTATTTTTTTAAATAAGCTTTTTAATGGAAGCATAACGTATGTATAGAAAAACACAAATATAGTTGTTTAGCATGACATCACAAAATGAAGGTAACTATAGTCACCACCCACATCAATAACTATGTCCCTTCTTAGTCATTACTCTTCATCCTTCCCAAGGGTAATCACCATCCTGAATTCTAACACCAAAGATTAGGTTTGATAGTGGTTAACCTTTATATAAATTGAATACATAATGTATCTTGAGTTTCTGGCTTCTTTTATCTAACATTGTAGATTTATCCATGTTGTTGCCTGGCGCAGGTAACCGTCATTCATTCATTTTCATTGCTACAACCGCATTCAGTATTCTACTTTACACTACATTTATTTATCCGTTGTATTGTCGATAGACATTAGAGATGTTTCCATTCTTTGGCTGTTAGGAGAGCTTCTGTGAACATTGTTGTGTATGTCTTTTGGTGTACACACGTACGCATCTGTGTTGCATTCTCTCATTATGCCTAGTGAACCTCTTGAGGAATTTTCTGGTCCATGAAGCATCAGTCTTAGTGGCTTTGGAGGTTTTAGTACTCAAGGGAGGAATTATTTCTAGGAAACACGGTTTCAATGAATTGGAAGTGGACATGGCTTGCCGGCAGGACTTTTCCTATCGTTAACCACTGGGGGGCGGGGGGAGCACTACTGACAAACAAAGGAGAAAGATTCCTTTTAAAGGGGGAACTTCGATTGCTGTTGCACAGTGGAGTAAGTAGGACTTAAATGGAATGTATGACATTCACCAGTATTCTCTTGGCCAACAGTCAATGAAAAAACTAGGGTAACCCAAAAGGACCTCAACTTGGTTTCATCTTGTAAGAGTGACTCTTTGGATCACCCACCCTGGCTCAGACGGTAAAGCGTCTGCCTGCAGTGCGGGAGACCCGGGTTCAATCCCTGAGTCGGGAAGATCCCCTGGAGAAGGAAATGGCAACCCACTCCAGTATTCTTGCCTGGAAAATTCCATGGATGGAGGAGGCTGGTGGGCTACAGTCCATGGGGTTACAAAGATTTGGACATGACTGAGCGACTTCACTTTTACCTGGTAAAGAATTCCATTCAGCTTAGGTGCAAGCAGGGAGTAAGAGAGACCTAGATGGGTGGTGATAGAAAGCAGCTATGCTCATGAACCTGGTCTTCATGACCAGCTGAAACACTGGTTTTATGAAACTATAATTATGTTTTGTGACTTATTTCTTTTCTCCCTTACCATATATGAAGAAGTCTGGGGTGGATAACGTTTTTGGCTTCAGATGAGAATGTGACTGAATTGATACCACCCCATGATCAGTAGCTGATAGAAGGAGAGTGTATGGTGGAAAAGAGTTGAGATAAGTGCTTATAGTCCCCCTGGCTCGCTCCATTAGAGGTTGCCCTGAACTGAATGTGTACCCTGACCAAAAATCATTGCCTCTCTCATGATGAACTCTTGATAATTCTCTCTCCCTTAAGACTTTGGTTAATTCCTTCTGTCTCTTGGAGCTTAAGAGAGGTGCAGTTCCCCTGTTGTTAACCCTGGATTACAGAACTATCCTTGTAATTCTCTTATACCCTATACACACGTTTGTAATTAGTCCCTCTGTTTAAAACAAACAATCCTGAGGGTGTCACTTGTTTCCTGTTAGGGCTCTTGACATGTGAGCTTTATATCTCTTGTATTGTTTCTTGAATATTAGCATAGCCGCAGTCTTTCTTTTAGTTTTTGCATATCTCTTCACTTTAAACTTTTCTGTATTCTAATATTTACCTCTTGAAAACAGGTTAAAGGTGTATCTTTATAAATCCAAGGCAGCAGTCTTATCTTTTAATTGGGATAGTCAATTGAAGTTTGTTTTTACCGATACATGGGGCTTTAAAGCTGCTATCCTACTGTTTCTTGTCTCCCCTGCTCTTCACCCTTTTTTCTCTACTTTCTTCATCCTTTGTGATACGTCAGGTTTATTTATTCCCCTTTTCCTTTTAGTTATATGTCTTTTTGTTGTTGTTGTTTAGTCGCTAAGTCATGTCTGACTGTTTTGTGGCCCCATGGACTATAATCCACCAGGCTCTTCCGTCCATGGGATTTCCCAAGCAAGAATGCGGAAGTAGGCTGCCATTTCCTTCCAGGGGATCTTCCTGACCCAGGGATCAAACCTGCATCTCCTACACTGGCAGACAGATTCTTTACCGCTCAGCCACCAAGGAGGCCTGCATGTCTTTTTATTATTGTTTAGCTGCTCTAGAAATTAGAACGTGCGTCCTTGACATCTGCAAGTCTAGTATAGGGGCTTCTCTGGTAGTCCATTGGTACAGACTTCAGTGCTGTAACGGATCAGTGATATCCTGGTGCAGGACCAATGCTGGGGACCCAGGTTTGATGCCTGGTCAGGGAACCAGACCCCACTTGCGAAACTGGGAGTTTGCATGCTGGTACAGAATTCACATGCCGCAACTAAGACCCAGCGCAGCCAAACAAAAAATAATAATAATAAAGGAAGTCTAATATACGTAAGTACTTTATCCACTTCCTGGACAGTGTGAATACCCTTGACCACTTTATCCCCTCTTCTCAATTTATGTGTTGTTAATGTTAAAATCTGTATGTTTTTAAACACCATAATAAGTCAGCACTGTTTTGTAAAGTAATTATTTGTTGGGATTTACCCATATATTTTCTTTACTGTTCTTCATCCCTTTGAAAATCTAAGAACTTCCATCTGAGAACATTTCTCTCTACTCAAAGGTTACTTTTTCCTCCAAGGCAGAGGTGAAGAAAGTGAAAGTCGGTCAGTTGTGTCAGATTCTTTGCGACCCCATACAGTCCATGGAATTCTCCAGGCCAGAATACTGGAGTGGGTAGCTGCTCCCTTCTCCAGGCGATCTTCCTAACCCAGGGATTGAACCCAGGTCTGCTGCAATGCAGATGCTTTAGCTGAGCCACCAGAGAAGCCCAATTTTCAGTTTCTGTTAGTTTGAAAATACCTTTATATTGTCTTAGCTTTTGAAAGTTATATTATCTGAATATGATTCTGTTTTCTTTTAATACTCTAAAGATAGCATCATTTGGTTGCAAGGGAGCTTACTGTCATTCGATAGAATAATTTTCTTACCTACGGATGCTCAATGTTTCCCCCTTTGAATATCAGCAGTTAGCGTTTTTCACTTTTAGCATAGTTAGCATAGTTCACTTTTAATATGAAGTGCTTAGGTGTTATTTTCTTTGCCTTTTCCTTAAAGGTTTATAATGCTTCTTGAATCTAAAGCATGATGCTTTTTGTTTATTTGAGACATCTCTTTCAGTGTTACTTTGTTACAGTCTGTCATGCCGCTTCTGGGTTTTAATTATATACCTATATTGGACTTTTTTTTTTTTTTTACTCTGTATCTCCTATCTTTTAAATTTTTTCCATTTTTCATCTTTTAGTCTTTTTGTTAATCTGTCCGCAATTTCTTCTGAATTTTCTTACAGTTCCCTAATTTTGTCTTCAACTCTATATAATTGGCTATTAAATCCATTCACTGGATTTTTGTTGAATCTTTCAATAGAATTCCATTTGGTTATGTTTCCATTCTCCACATTCTTACTCATCTTCTAAGTTCCTGAACAGATTAATCATAGTAATTTGGGGAATTTGGGAGAGAGCTGTGCTACATATCTTGCAGGGTCTTAGTTCTCCCCAACCAGGGATTGAACCTGGGCCACCTCAGTAAAAGCACTGAGTCCTATCCAGTGGACCACCAGGGAACTCCGTAATTACACTGTTTTGAAGTCTTCATTTCATAATCCCCGTGAGTCCTGTTTCTATGGTTGCTTCTCTATCTTGTCATGTCATCGCATATACCTGATTATTGCTTTATGTGTGCTAGACATTGTATGTAAACAATTGTAGAAATATTTTGAGGCTTGGGATAGCATGACTTTCTTTTAGAGAGGAGTTTTTTACTTCTATTAGGTAGCAAGGGCCTTTAGCATCCTCAGATCACTGCAATCCAGTTGAGAACAGAGATGATTCAGTTCCAATCTATTTTCGGCTCACTCTGACTTGTAGGGTACAGCACGTTAGAATTTCAACAGAAAAACTGAGGTCCTTATCTCTTTCTTGGTGAGCCCAACTCCAGTTTTTCTCCTCTTCTACCCCCACCTAGGTCTGTGAGCTTGCAAAAGGCTTTGTTGTTCTTAGTTGCTTCTGGAAGAGACAGATGCCTCCAGCAGAGAGGCTGTAAGCGCCTCTCCAACCTGTCTGCCTCTACTAGGTCTTAGCCGTGAAATCCTCACTTTTGAGAGTTCCAGTGCCTTCAAACAGATATATTTCTTTGTTTTGTCTCAGCTTTCCTAGTTGTTCTCAGCAGAAACATGATCAAAACCATAGTCCTTCATTACCAGAAGTGGAACTGCAGTGGTCTCATTTTTTTTTTAATTGCGGTATAGGTGATGCACAATATTGTATCAGTTTCAGATATACAACACAGTGATTCACAATTTTTAAAGGTTATAGTCAATTTATAGTTATCATAAATAAAATAACTATATTCCCTGTGCTGTACAATACATCCTTGTAGCTGATTTATTTTATGCCTAGTTGTTTGTATCTCTTGACCCTCTACTCCTATTTTGCCCCTTCCCCCACCCCTGTCCCCTCTGGTAACCACTAGTTTGTTCTTTGTACCTGTGAGTCTGTTTCTTTTTTGTTACATTCACTAGTTTGTTTTATTTTTTATATTCAACATAAAAGTGATATCATACAGTATTTGTCTCTGACCTATTTCACTGAGCATAGTACCCTCCAAGTCTACCCGTGTTGTTTGCAAATGGCAAGATTTCATTCCTTTTATGGATGAATAGTATTCCAATGTGTGTGTGTATATATATATATAT